TTTTAGGGGGGGACACCCAGCACAGTCTACAGTAGGTTTTTTTGAGCTATGGTCGGCAAATTGCCCCCCCCCCCCTTGCCCCCCTCTGGCTACGGGCCTGGTTCGAACTCATGAGATCGTGCGGATGTTCCCTTTATATAGTCGTGGGTTACCGGAGCACAAAATAGGTTTCGTGATGGACTGGCGCAATGCTATATCACGTGAAAGATGTTTTATTTAAAATTCCAAACTTAAAACTTGGGAACTAAAAGCTATTGAACAATACAACTAAGTACTTTTGGATTTCAAAAATAAGAAGGAAAATTTTTACAAGTATTCCCGAAAAACAGAAAACCACATTGGTTTGGCCCAAGATAAATAGTTTACTTAAAGTAATATCAAATATTTTAACATTAAAACACTATCGAATAAATAATACAGATGCATACAGATGCAATATAAATGATTATATTGATATATAATACACTTAAAGCTTTGATGCAGCCTTTATTAGACTTCAAAAACAGAGATGGGCTTAATTACAACATATATTTACAAGTAAATTTTAAACTTAAGGATATCAAATATTTTAACATTAAAACACCATATTTAAAAAAAAAAAAAAAATAAAGGTGAAGTACAAAACAAACTTACAATATAAATTATCATATTACAAAATTTCAAGATTACAAACTGAAAAGTTTTGATGCAGCTGTTTAAATTATAGTCGATTAATTACTATATAGTTATCGAAATATATTTAGCTTACATGTAAATATTTTAACATTAAAACACTATATTTAAAAACAAAAAAATACAGATGGAATATAAATGACTACATTACAGTACAGACTTACAATATAAATTATTATAATACAGTATTTCATTATTTCATTATTTAAAAGTTTTGATGCAGTCTTTTATGGTTAATTTCAAGCCTGGAAATAAGGCACCTGTCACAGACAATGTCAGGCACACATTCAGGCTTTGTCAGGCACTAAACTTCTGGTGCCTGTCATTTTGTCCGGCACTGATTTGTCTTTTTTATTGATATTATTAATACATGTCCGGCAATAAGTCGAAAATGTCAGGTACTATTTGTCCGGCCTGTCATTTTGTCTGGCACTGATTTGTGTTTTTTATTGATATTATTAATACATGTCCGGCACTAAGTTGAAAATGTCAGGTACTATTTCATTAGTGCCTGATATTTTGTCAGGTACATCTAAAACCGTTATTTCCAGGCCTGCAGTTACCGGAATAAATTCAGCTTACATGTAAAATCAGCTTAAATTTTGACATCCATTTAAATAAAAATAAGGAGGCTGCATTTATTTACACTTAAGTATTTCTAATAAATGAAGAGCCCTGGGGAAGAACGATCTAAGTCACTTTTTCAAAGAACCCCAGTTAATGGCGGCATCTGGTAGGAAATTGTATAAGCTTTCTGTGGAACAATCAATTTCTGGTAAAAACGATCTGAGTCACATCGAACCAAGGCCCTTTTGAAATGGCCTCCCGGACAAATACGTCCATCGTACCTTTTATTTGACCTTAATTTGGCTGAAAAGTGGAAGTCAGTTGTTGGACTGGTAATTATGATTCATATTAAACATCATTTTGAAATTGTAATTAAACCCACTCGTTGTTTTGTTAGCATCAAACATTCTCGTCCAAAAGTCTGTTTTGCCTTTTATGCGAAAAGACAAAAATGTGACTTAGATAGTTCTTCCCCTGGACTCTTCAATTAATATATTATTTGGCTTACATGTAAAATTTAAACTTAAGGATTTTGACAACCATTTAAATGTTAATAAGGAGGTACTATTAAATACTGTTGAAAACCTGTTCAAGTCAGTAGCCCTGGTTGTACCAAGATGTAAATTCTCTACCACTCACAAATGTGGGTTCATCTCTTGTCTTACCTGTATTACAGGTACGGTGATAACATCGTTAATAATAAAGTGGAAGAGGAGTAACCAGTTTTGCATCCATTTAAAAACATACTGTTCGTGTTTAATAATTATCAAATGAAATGAAATGTAGTTTAATGTCCTACTTTTCGGCACCAAATTCTGGTAAAATTTTGTGACCGTCGGGACTGGATGATATGACTAAATTCAGAGCTCTGGTTGTCACTATCTACAGGGATTAATTTCAGATTGATTTGTTTAAACATACATTATGCAAGAGCTAAATCTGCCTATTGCAGGTCTTTCTTTAGGCCTGAAATGTTATCTAAATTATTAATTAAACATTAATTAACTTATCCAGGACAAAATCAACTCTTGATGTCATCGCTAGCCTGTAATGTTTAGTAGATTGGAATACATTTTGTTTAGGATGATTAAACATAAAAATGGATAATCAAGACTTTGATTTTTATTGTATCGACTTTAGTAATGATGATCGAAGCTAATATCTCGGTTGGAGTGGAGCAATTTGGCTGAAATTTTCAGCATATTCTATTTACATTATCTATTTTTTAACTATTATAGCAAGAACTGTCAACTCTTTATCTCCGAGACTAACACATCCGCTTCATAGATCCAGGAAATAAAAAGCTGTGATTGGCTTTTTTTTGACAGACCTTGACACAGATCTATTGAATGAGATAAGAAAAGAGTGTGTGGGTCGGTAGTGACTGTACATCCGGGTACAAAACTCACAACAACTTGGGTATCATTTAGTTGTTTTAGCAGGAGTTTCTGTGTTGGAAGGTGTTGAGTAATTAACAAACTAATTAATTACTCAACACTGCTCCAGAAACTAAACAATTATAAACCCAACACTCATATCATCTTGGTGGAAGCGGACGTAAAATACAACTAACTCACACACATATCTAATCTAAACAGACCATTTAAACAACACAACAGTAAATACCCAATGGTTTTCTATGATTCTCAACAGATTTGAACAGTTTTCCAACCACGCCTTAAAACTAAACATTAAATATAGAAATTTCTGCTATAAGAACTAAATGATACCTGAGTTGTAGTGATTGTTTCAAGGACTAATGAATGGTATGTTTATAAACAACTAGAGAAACTCAATTAACACCAACAGTAGTCACGACAACCTATGTGATTGACATTAAGAGTGAAATATACACAGTATATCATCATATTAGAAGTTTCACCAAATAAACACATCAAAATTAACATGGCACAACTGACATTAAGAATGAAATATACAAAGTTTCACCGAATAAACACATCAAAATTAAAAGGACACAACCAATGAATTTACAAACAAATATAAGGATAGTACAATTGATATCAATCTTAATCCTAGAGAAACGTTTACCCTTTTTTTTATCTCTTGTAAAACTCGCCGGCCATTAATCAGCGTGAATTTGATGTTTAGCTCCACCCCCAGTGGCTCCTGATTGACAGGAATTCAAAATGGCCGGCAAGTTTTACCAGAGATAAACGAAGGGTAAACTTATCTCTGAGATGGAGATTGAATTGATACACGATAACAAATATAAGGATAGTACAATTGATACACGATAACAAAATACAAAAACACTAGTTAATAAAGACACATGGAGAAAATTCTCTAAAGTCAAACAATGTTCATTAAGCATTTTTTAACAGTACGCCCGGGGAAGTATGGGTAAGCCGGGTGGGTTGTTAAAATGTTCACTTCAAATTGTTGGTAGTTGGGACAAGGGGATAAAACTATGTACACACTTTTCACAATGTGTGCATTAAATTACCAATTATATAAAGTTCCGTAAATACATAAATTTATATATGTTTTTCAAAGTTATTCATTGTAAATTGCTGAAATTCAACAGGTTTCGTTGTTTCACAAATTTAAATGACATATATAACTTTCATACAGATTGGCAGATAACTTTTGGCATTAGAGCGTTCACAAGGGACATAACACTAGATGTAATTAACAGAAATTATTGAAATTAAATAGGATTCTTCATCTCACTAATGTAAGCCACATATATCAATTTTAAAACAATCGGATGATAATTTTTGGCATTAGAATGTTCACGAGAAATTGTGGACGACGGAACCGACAGATGGGGGAGACGACAATATATGCCCACATTTCCATGTGGGTGTATAAAAATAAAATAATAATTCAAATTTATGAAACTGGGCTATAAGATATGGTTATCCAACCACCACAAACAAAAAAAAAATAATTACTTAATAAGTAATAAAAATAATACATTGTCATATTAGTTCTTCTAGTTGGATCTAAATATGAGGGTACTTGATCGAATATTCTGAAATGAAATTATCCCTATCCCTCGAAACCTGTCAAGACAACATAGCTAAATCATTTGCTTATGTCACAACACTTCTAGGGCTGGTAGAATTGTGACAGGATTCATTCCGTCCATTCAGAACATTCCAGATTGACAATCAAGCACCCCCAATTGTGTTTTACTCAATATCAATTCAGTCCAATCAGAACATTCCAGATCGACAAACGAGCACCCCCCATTGTGCACTACTCAATAGCAGTTCCTTCCAATCAGAACATTCCAGATCGACAAACAAGCATAAATATCCTCTTTGTGTTTTATAAAACAAATAAAACATCATCAAATTGTAACAGCTTGTTACAAACTAATAATGACATAGCAATATCTAACATAAACATCTGTTCAAACTATCTATATCTACATACGATTCTAACTTGACAATTGACATGAACATGTACACATTGATTAATAACTGGAATTCTGATATAAATTTTAAATAAATTATCAATAAAATATAATTAATACTTGGTCTGTAAAAACTGCTTCTACTTCTGCTTTAGTCACAGTTTACCGATTCTCTCAATCTCAATACTTTGTGATTGTTGTTTATTTTTATCAATATTGTTGTTGTGATTGTTGTTTATTTTTATCAATATTTAAGAACAAAAGTATTTAACATAGACCAAAAATACATTTTGAAATCATAACTTTTAGTATTCACAAATTTTAGTATTCATGACTTTTGGTATTTCTGACATCAAATAATCAGAGAAAGAGAGAGAGAGAGAGAGAGAGAGAGAGAGAGAGAGAGAGTTGAACATCCACTCAAAACACACTAGGTCATTTTGGGACTAACATATGGTTCAATTTTATTTCAATAATATGTCTTTAGCAGTAGGAGGAAACTGGAGAACCAGGAGAAAACCCACGAGGTTGGACAGGCGACCCTACTCCTTGTCACGTACAACTGGGGAATCGAAACTGAAACCACGAAAGTTGACTCAATGACAGACCTTGTGATAGAGCACAATCGCGCTAGCCATTCAGCCCCCCCCCCCCTCTCTCCACAACTTTTTGTATTTATGACTTCAGCTAAAGCAAAAGCAGTGCATACAACCTGTGAGGTGTGTAAGGTGTAAATTTGTGATAGAGTTTTCTGATATTTTACCACCGATTCAGAAAATGACATTGTTAATAACGTCCTTTAATTTATCAATATCATCCAATAAAAGATACTGTTTAATGGAATTTGGCAGAGTTAGTTTATTGGTGACATCAAAAACAGATTTTTTCACGCAACCTCGAACTTTCATACGGCAGATATGCTGTAAGGATGGAACATGTACAGCCTGCTTTTGGCACATCAACGCAAGTTTTTCCGATACTCTTTTAACTAGAGTTATGTCCGAATTCCTCCATTTGAATCCTGCAGCAGAAGAATAAAGAACCAAATGCCTTACCGTCTTGATCTCCAGCTCTTTAGAATTCCAATGTGAGTCAATATAATACACGAAAGTAGTAACAATTTGAGATAAAGTTGCCGTGGTAGCTTGTTTGATAATTTTGATGGTTAGTAAGGAGATCTTGACCAAAAAGTGATCAATGATGCCTTCATAGATAGGCTGAGATCTATGCAGTTTAGTTAGTAAAAGTTCATGAGCCATAGGGGAGTACGTGCCGAGTAAAAAGAAATCAATTAATTGGTTAATAAATTGATCATCGATGTACTTTAATGACGTACGAACAACATACATCATCGCATCCCTTGACGACGGCTCGGCACCGTATTCTAATAACAGAGAAACGATCTTCCAACATGCCGAGTGACGTGGTTCGAGGCGATTATCAAAGGTGGTTATCAAGGCAACATCTAATGGCGAATACTGATTTACGTTGTGTCTATTTATATCGCATAAACCGCTATCTAACAACAATTTAACTATGTCTACCTTGGTCAGCTTGATCGCCAAAATCAAGGCCGACTCTTTTTTGTTACTTAGCGCTACGTTAATATTTAAAGCTGACTGTAAAAGTTGTCTTAACTTCTCTGTATCATTGGCGATGATTGCCTCCTCCAACTGATCAGACATCTCCCTGATTTCACTTCCATTATTGTTGCTCGTTGACGCTACAAGGCCTTCTTCCATACTTGCAGCAGCTGACATAAGCAAGGAAATTTTACCGTATCCATCAAACAACTTGAGTAAACACATGTACTGAATCAGCCATAATCCATGTCTGGAATTACTGAAAGGGAGATAAATAGGATCCTTTCAATTCTATATTATCTACTTAATTTCTGTACCACATTTTGTGAGAGAGAGAGAGAGAGAGAGAGAGAGAGAGAGAGAGAGAGATGGGGTTTAATGTCCACTCACACAAACTAGGTCATTTTGGGACTAACATATGTTTTAATTTTATTTCAATAATTCGCTTGCGCCTAAGGGTCTTTAGAAGTGGGAGGAAACTAGAGGACCAAGAGAAAACACAAGAGGTTGGACAAGCGACCCTACTACTCCTTGTCACGTACAACCAGGGAATCGAAACCACGCCAGTTGACACAATGACAGACCTTTGTTACAGCGCACACTCGCTAACCAGTTGTGCGCAATAAAAATGTACAATAAGAAGAAAATCGGGAATGAACTTAGCAAGTATTTCAGAATTTAACAGCCAAAAGATTAACACGCCATAAACAATCCCCACTTCGACATGGTTCAAAATATCATATCCAATAATTCGACAAACATATATCCACACTCCACAGGTAACAAAACATATCTCCACAGTACAGGCAACGAAGCATATGTCAGGGTTCCCGCGGCTTCGTCAAACATTTTTTCAAGGATATTCAAGGATAAATATATGTCAAATTCAAGGATTTTCAAGGACATTTTTTAGCCTAAAGTTACAATATTTCATCTTAAAAATAACCAAAACATTACCAACTATCGTTATAATCTCATATTTAAAAGGAATTGAAGACATTTGAAACAAAATTAAGGATCTCAACTGAAATTCAAGGATATTTTCCTATTTCCGCGAAATTCAAGGATATTCAAGACCTTGAAAATGAAATTTTAAATTTAAGGATATTCAAGGATTTTCAAGGACCGCGGGAACCCTGATATGTCCGCAGACAATGAAAAAGATATGTCTACAGGCAACGAAATATATGTCCAAAGGCAACGAAACATATGCCCACAGCAGCTTAGATGTACGAGCAGTCCACATAGAGGTTGTCGATTTTTTGTTCTAATTTGAAAGTCATTAAAAACTGATCAAGTGTAACAACCCATAAAGAAATTAACAGAAATAATTAAAAGTTGATTGGTTTCTTGTTCTTCCTACCCTTAATGCTAACATGTATTATACAAAATATTTACTGATAATAATGATAACATCGGCCGTTCAGATAATATATGAAATCAAAAATTGAAAATCAATAAGTTTCTCTGTCTCTTCCACATAAACACGACACTGTATATAAATTACTAACCAATTGGATGATAATCTTAGAGTCTAGAGCAGTGATTCTCAACTGGTGTGCCGCGCGATATCTTCCTAAGTATGCCGCGAAATTTTGAACAGCACACTACGAAAATGTAAAAAACCATGTGATCCCAATTGAGTACTGGTGTCAACTGATAAGTTCATGGCTGTGTTTTTCCTTATTTAGTTTGAGTCATTCTATGTGTCTATGACTCTGTCTATTTTTTCATGTGTTCCAAGGTGTGCTGTTGGCAAAAAAAGGTTGAGAACCACTGGTCTAGAGTATTTGGCTGGAGTGTCTAGACAATTGTTCAGATCAAGGGCCATAACTCTGACAGTAGTTATAGGAAATATCTTAAAATCAATATATTATATAAGTTTCAATCCAACTAATGCTTTACCTCTAGAGTGTCCACAAAATTTTTCATAGTGATCAAGGTTCAGAACTCTTTTCAGTATTTTTTGAAAACTGGTCAAAAATCACATACCGGTATGAATAAATTGAATTATATTCAGTTTTAAATATTTTATTTTATTTTCTAGGCAGTTACATTCGGTGCAATACTTGAGTAGTCCAAATTGAATGTCCAACCTCGTGGGTTTTCCCCGGGTCCTCTGGTTTCCTCCTACTGCTAAAGACCACTATGCCACATACGAATTATTGAAAAAAAAATTAACCATATATGTTAGGCCCGAAATGAACTAGTTTGTGTTGAGTGACTTAATCCCTAAACTTCATTTCTCTCTCTCCAAACTGAATGACATTTCTCTTTGTGCCAGGTTAGTCTATAAGTTTATCTTTTTCTTTTGTCCTTTATGCATCGACCGGTACTTTGCATTTTCTTGCAGGATTTGATTTGCTCTGTTCATCAAGTCTATGGTGCATAAGACAGAGAATCTGATGCTAGCTAGGAACTGATTTTAAATTGTTCATTGTGTCTTAAATATTGAATATCTGGAGCCCATATTTTCATAGCAAGATTAAAATAACATCAACATTGACCGAATTTATTTGAAATAGGGCCTAGATATTAAATTTTAATTTGTCTTTTAAATGTCAAATTTTATGAATAATATTGAGTTTGTACTAAACACTTTGTGAGTGGCTGATTGGGGAGTAGCCTATATTTGATCAAACGTAAAGTAGAACCAAAACTCTTTTGGGGCCCTATTAATTTGAAAATCTCATTGATTTTGGTTAGCCTTTAGTCTTTGGGAGATATCATCATGAAAAATAAAAGATAGGCAATGCTGCATTCATAATCTTTTGCTACTTTCCTTCAACTATATATATGTACAATTCTTATCGTGACTGACAAAAGAAATATGAAAATGATCTCTGTACTACATGTAGGAGAGAGGTAATAATATAGGCCTAGCCTGTTCCTCAATCCTTTCCTGAGAATAAAATATTATTTATAAAAAAAAAAACATCTACATCTCAGTCATGTATAAGTTAATAAGTAAATTATAAGTAAAATCAAAATGTGCGACGATATGATTATGAAAGTTGGAAGAGAAACTTTTAAAGACGGCCTACTAGGCTACTACTAGTATTTAACTAGGAATTCCCACAAATAAAGCTGTCTATAATTTATAAGTAACTGTGATTGATTGACTTTGCTGCAAATTGTACCTCAAATATTCCTTTCAGGAACCCTTTAATATTTTGTCAAGTGGTAATTATAAGTATACACAATTAAAATTAATAAGATAATCAAAACAACAGCTGATTGATTTATTTTGTTTCTTCTGTCAAAATGGATCTTTAGGATAGAAGAGCTGAGAGATGGGAAACAACTCGATTGATTAATAAAGACAAAGAGAGTGTTTGTAGTGTTTCGATGCATTCGAATATGCACATATTTTCTAAAAATTTAATTTAAGGCCATAGCTTATTAGGTTCCACAATATCAATCTTTGAAATGGGGAAAATGCCAAACTAAAAATATTTTTTTTGTCTAAAAATAAGAGTTACCTCCCTTTCGAAGTAACACCCCGAAATTTAAAAAAAAAATCCTTTGATTAATTAAACAGTATTTTGTAATATTTTTTATTTACTCGTGTGTATTTGGAGTCCATCGAAACATTAACAGACAGGCAAATGTTCGATGGAGAAGCCTGTAAACACTGCCCTAGACAAGCAGCGAACGACCGAACTTCCCATAACTGACATGACGTAACGGTACACCAAGTTCATGACCCGGAAACATTCGCGTTACATCGATGCGTGGACCAATCACGGCTCGACAGCACATGGACCTACTGCCGGCCACGTTCAGTCACAATTTACAATCATTTCGGCTACTCACATCAACAAGATGCAGTCTTTTCTAATATTACTCTCACTGTTGTCTATAGCATTTGCTAGCGATGTTTTAGTTTTCACTGATTCAGATTTTGCTTCTAAAGTTGCAGAACATGACATGGTATTAGTTGAATTTTACGCACCTTGGTAAGTATAGTATGTCTTCGGTGTTGACTCGACTCGTTTCCTCCTCAACAAACGGTACCTAACCTTTAATGTTTTATTCCCCTGTGGTAAGCTTGATCAATCTGCTGGTTTTAGATCCATTATCTAGAAGTTTTACTTTGTCTAGACTGCTACAAGAAATGCAATTCCCCATCAACTGTTATTAAACGTCACGGTAGATAATTGGATGAGGTTTAGTCTAGAATAGTAGAACTCGAGGAGAAACTAAGTTATAAAATATTTTGAGGATTATGATGATACCGGTAACGATTTGTGTCCGGGGGCCTGAACTGCTGATTTTATAGTAATTATACAATTTGATTGACTAGTAAAAACTTATGTCCTCTTCACACTGTAAGATGTACCTTGTCGTAAATTGGGTAGAATAACTTTCTGACCTAGGAGTAGGGCAGTGTGAACAGGTTCCTGCATGAACCTCGTTGTTCCTGTAGGCCTATCATACTCTATTGAACTCAAGTTGAATCAATTTCTTTTATATCATGTATCAGGGGTGATATTAGGCTAACACCGTTTGACTTTGAGTAAAGTTTGAGGGAATGTAGCTCGTTGACGTGTGTTCTAAGTATCGGAAATGAATACATAGATTCTTGGAATGTGTCTACAGTTCATTCAACACTTTATTTCCGAAGCATATAATAAAAGCAACAATTAAATAACTTCTAATTTCCTATAAATCAGACCTCCAACTAGTAGTATATAGGCCTACATGTAGGTTCCCTCTAAGCTCGTCTCTCAACTAAGGATTTATCTTACATACATTTGTCTATTCTAAATTAGTTGAAATGAAATGAAATGAAATGGGGTTTAACGTCCTACTGTTCTGCTCCTAACCTGGGCTAATGAAGACGGGCATACGCCATACAGTGTGCTATGAGGGAAATTTTGCCCGGACAGCGGCACTACGGCCTACTCTTATATCGAATTCCAACTGCCAAGGGATCTTTTACGTGCACGCCAATGTGTACACGGGACCTCGGTTTTTCGTCCCATCCGAACGACTAGACAGCTTTCCTTGTCAGCCCCTCCGTCCTGCATCACTGACAAGGGAGAACCACGTCGGAAAATCTGGATGAACTTTCTCGGCCAATGCAGGGATCGAACACCCGACTTGAGGCTAGCGAGCTAGCGTCTTACCCACTTAGCCACGTGATCCCCCTCTAAATTAGTTACTATGAAAGTGTTGACATAAACATATAATTATTGAAGAGAAGGATTAAGTGTTAAGACAATACTATACTACTATAGTTAAAGACGGCTCTAGGACAATTTGACCCCGAGGACAGTTCTTCCCCGGACAATTCGTCCCAGGACTATTAGTCGCATGGGGCTATTCATCCCCAAGGGCTATAGACCCCTAGGACAATTCATCCCTACACATTTGCGGGTCTTATCATAATTTAAATTGACCCAACAGATTAATTGCTGTCTGTCTCTGATGACTAACCACACATTGAAATATAGATTTGAAATTAAAAACAGAATTTAAAATAATAAAACATATGAGTATGACCATAATATTACTGACAGGGTTTGAATTTTAAAAGGGCGAGCAAGCTTATTTCATATGTTATTATACAGTATTTTGATGACCGTATTATACTCTTGTCCTGTTAAAAGTTTGGATATAATACAGCAGCCACTCAATGTAATTTTCATGACTGACAGCTTACAGGGAGTGATCTTGATAAATTCTCATTTATTTTGTTCGCTTACAAGATGTGGCTGAAAAGGAGTGGCTGCTCGTACAGATTCTACTGTAACAACTTTTCTTGACATCGTGGTGTAAATCAAACGAACACATACCAATAATTTGAAAGTTTCAGTTTTCCTAAGTATCATGTCATAAATTTGCTTAAACAAGAATCAAAGTGTCCATGTCAAATTTCAGACATTGATATACAGTTGAAATATCCCTTTATGGAAGAAAATAAAATGAAATGGAGTTTAACGTCCTACAGTTCTGCTCAGACTGGGCTAAATGAAGGCAGGCATATGCTATACAGTGTGCTACGAAGACAATTGCCCAGGCAGCGACACTTCGGCCTACTCTTATATTGAATTTCAACTGCCAAGAGATCTTCAACGTGTACGTCAAAATATATATGGGACCTCGGTTTTCCGTTCCATCCGAACAACTAGACAAACTGTCCTTGTGCCAGGCCCTCTGTCCTGCACCACTGACCTGTTGAAACCACGTCGGAAAATCATATGAACTTTCCCTGCCAATGCAGCTATCACATAGGCGACGTCAAGATTAGCGATCCAGCGTCGTACTCACAAAGCCACCGTGCCCCGCTTTAAGGAAGAATGTCATAAGATAAAAATAAAGCATTTCAATGATGATAAATAAAAGTATTGATAAATGATGATCATGGATCGATAGGACTGAGATATGCTTTATTATTAATAATGTCTCAAAACTTGGGTAGAGTATTTTGTAAATATTAATCATGCCATAATTCTTGTATTTTTCAGGTGTGGACATTGTAAAAAATTAGCACCAGAATACGAAACAGCTGCCACAAAATTGAAATCTGGAGATAACCCTGTAGCTTTAGCAAAGGTAAATTTATAATTATTTTCGTGAAAATTTAATAACAATGGTGATAGTTGAAATTCATGCAGGGAATTTTGCATAGAAAATTGAAATGGGTTTAACGTCCTACTGTTCTTCACCAACTTGGCTGATAGAGACTGACTTACGCCATAAAGTGTGCTAAATGTAGGAGGGTAATATTGCGTGGACAGTGGCGCCATGGCCTGCTCTTATTTCAAAATCAAACTGTTGAAGGTTCTTTTACGTGCATGCCAATGAGTACAAGGGACCTTGGTTTTTCATCCCATCCAAATGACTAGACACTGTTCCATGTCCGGCTTTCCGTCCTACACCACTTACATGGGAAAACCACGTTGGAAAATTCTGAGGATCTTTCTCGGCCAACCCTAGGAGAGAACCGGAAACCTGGTTAGTGAGCGAGCCAGTGTCTTGCATAGAGAAAAGTGTGGTTAGACGACCATTAACTTTAGATAGCAAGGTCGATAATTGATGCAAATTCGGTAGTTTCTATTGTACTCTTTTGCTTGATGAGTTTACAGCCTTAACCTTGTTGGTATTCTCCATTTCTCCAGGTACTTTGGTTTCTCTCACAGAAGAGGATCCATGCAAGCGAATGAATCGTTCAAAATATCACTTGAACACCAAACCCTATTTCAAGTTCTCCGCAAAATAGAACATATTTAGTCTTTAATGTTGGAATCTATTTATTGGGTTGTGTGAACAGGAAGGGATATGTAGAAACCAGATCATATTCATTGTCTATATAAATTGACTTCCTGTTTAATTTTGAATTATTTAAAATTAAAGATACATTATGGGAGATTCGATAACGAGATGGCAGTTTTCGCTATAATAGTTAAAAACTAGATAGTGTAAAGGTAATTTGCTGAAAATTTCAGTCAAATTGATCCACTATGAGCCGAGAAAGAAGCGGGTGAAATTTTGGCATAGTCTCGGTCATCATTACTAAAATCATTAATATAAACGGCTTAGTCTCAATTATCCACTTTTATTGATTTAATTATCAACGGCCGTTAGCGGCATATAGGCATCTAATCCAGCCAACATCGAAGGCTAGCCTTGACAACGAGAGTTTATTATGGTCTGGATAAGTTAATTAATGTCTAATTGATAATTTAGATAACATTTCAGGCCTAAAGAAAGACTTGTAATAAGCAGATTTTGCTCTTGCATAATGCGTGTTTAATGGATATCTCAAAATGCCACTCTTTTATCTGGGTTAAATATAAAATTATAAATTTCATTGAATTTTTCATGTTTATTTGTTCGAGAGCTTGTTCTTCATCTTTTCTTGTTAGCACGGTTGATGTAGAAAAGTAGGAAGTTAAACCTCATTTCATTTTGACCCCGTTAGATATATTTCACATGGACACCACCTGCAGATTTCGTCATAGGTCATGAGATATAAACGGGACTAGTGCTACCCCTAACCCAACACTTAGCCTTAAACCATTAGTCCCATGACTAATTGAAGTAACACATTAGATAGCCAAATTTAGTACTTTATTTTTGCCCAAATCAAAGAGGTTTAACTCCTGTGAATGTTTGTTAGATCCCAAATGTTTGATACGCAATGTAACGTCAATATATTAATATTTTTAGGTTGTAAAGTTAATGTATTAATATTTCTAGGTTGATTGTACAGCTGAAACTGAAGTATGTGGTAAATATGGTGTCTCGGGGTACCCTACATTAAAAATATTCCGTGGTGGTGAATTTAGTGAAGACTACAATGGTCCAAGAGAAGCTAGTAAGTTAACTGGTTGTTAAAGGACATTATTGGTGTCAGTCATTATCACATATGTGATAGAACTGGTTTGACACATTCTAAATATAATTTTATCACAGATCATTGCTACGATAGATGTGTAATGAAGATTTCAAAAAAAAAGGAAGTAACGAAAGCAAAAGGAAAACACAAGTTATCCTTCTATATAACTGACTGAAGTGACGAGTGATAACAGATACAGAGGCAAATTTCTGCTCACTAATAATTCCTTCGACAATTCAAAACAGAAATTGACTGTCACTTGAAAAGAGAAAATGGAAAAATGAAGAAAAAGTCTGTGTATTACCATGTTTTTATTAATTAAAGAATGAATAAAACAAGTATTTAATATATGTATTTTATAAATGGGTTAAATAATTAATTTGTTTTTCAGATGGAATTGTTAAGTTAATGAAATCAAAGGCCGGTCCCACATCAACATTATTAGAATCTGTTGCTGATGCTGAAAAATTTGTTGTTAACTCAGAATATACAGTAGTTGGTTAGTTATACATATTTTTATTATTTCATATTGAAACGGTCACAATACCGAATTTACGAATGCTGGCTAGGCCTTAAAATAGCTACTCTCTAATTTAATATCATCCAAAGTCTTCGAAATTGAAAACACAATTTATTTGTCAAGTTAAATCAACATTGATGTTGTGATCTTACTGGGAAAAGATGGGCTTCTGATATCCAATATTTAAGACAAAATAAACATTTTACCATTGGTACACGAATCGTGTACCATAATATGTTTCAGCGCCATTTGTAAGAAGAGACTCGAAGAACGATTCCTATCTGTAGAGCAATACACAATAAATACTATTGGTGTAGACTGGAATAACTAGATGCTAGGGATTGCCGTTAGTTATTGCCAAATATTAGTGATCTGGCTCCTTTTTAAAACTATGCAAGAAAATTTGCTAAGAAGAAAAAACAATCAGAGCACTTATACAAGTATTGCTAAAACAAGCTAGCAACAAGGCTGTGAACCCTCCCCATTGTCCAGATTTTAAATATTAAACCAGGCCATCACTTCATAGGATGGTACAAGCAACCTTTTTATGTTAGTTGGTTCCAAGATACTGGGGTTGGGAGGTGGGGATGGCCAAATGGTTAGCACATGCATGTTATATCATAAGGTCTGTCATCGTGTCAATTGGCATGGTTTCGATTCCCAAGTTGTACGTGACAAGGAGTTGGGTCGTCTGTCCAACCTCGTGGGTTTTCTCCGGTTTCCTCTCACTGTTAAAGACCCCTACGCTCAAGCGAATTGAAATAAAATTGAACCATGTGTTAGTCCTGAAATGGCCTAGTTTGTGTCAAGTGGACGTTAAACCCCATTTCTCTCTCTCTCTCTCTCTCTCTCTCTCTCCAAGATACAGGTTTTGATGATTGCTCAGAGTTCACAATGTGCGGGGTCAAATTTTACCATTCCCAGAGTTACAAAATAAAAAGTCTCTTAAAACCAGTTTCCCTGAATTAGTTTTAAAGAGTACTGCTGTTTAATAATCTTTGGTGGGATGTCGGCTGAACACGTGACATGATAAAGATGGGACATTGCAAAAAAGCTGCAAAAAATACCAAAGAAAAAGACTCTTATTATTACATTGAGTTGTGACCCCCATTTCATTTATAAAATGTTTGTTTGTTTTTTTCAGGATTTTTTGAATCAATTGACAGTGAATTAAGTCAAACATTCCGTAAAGTTGCAGATGCTATGAACGGAGAACTAAGATTTGGTCATAGTGTAAATAAGGATGTTTTATCTAAATTTGGCGTAGAAGAGTAAGTATTGGCTTACTTTTGTCTGTGTGTAATTTTCAAACTTGTTTCCAACTTATAGGGCTGAATGATGTTTGTTGATATTCTCCGAGAAAGGGGGTGGATGGCCGAATGGTATAGCGCGTACATGTATGATCAAGGTCTGTCATCGAGTCAATTGGCGTGGTTTCCTCCCACTGCTAAAGACCACAACGCGCAAGTGGATTATTGAGATAAAATTGAACAAATGACCTAGTTGTGTCAAGTGGACCTTAAACCCCATTTCTCTGTCTCGCGGTTTCCACCCGCTGCTAAAGACCCCAATGCACAAGCGAATTATTGAAATAAAATTGAACAATATGTTAGTCCCGAAATGACCTTGTTTGTGCGGAATGGACATTAACCCCCTCTCTCTCTCTCTCTCTCTCTCTCTATAGTGCAGCAGATAAGTATGACTTTAAACCCCATTCATATTGAACATGTGGTTAAAGAAGACATCTTGAGAATAATCAAACAGCTGTTACACTGTAATGAGAAAATAAAACACGCGAGTATTTAAATGTTTTAAGACTCACAGCTGTTGTATTGGCTATTCTTTAATTATTTCTATTATATCCATTTCTTCTGTATAATTTATCAACAAATAATCTTTACTCAGCTAGTAATTCTCATTCAACTGTTTAACAAGGTATGGAACAAGCTGTACACAAATACAGCACAATTTTTAAAAATTTACAAGTGAATGAAGCTCTTAGCTACATGACCCCACCCTATCAGGTTCTCTCTTTCTTGCACCACTGTCAAGGGGTAAACACGTCGGAAAATCCTGTTGAACTTTTTTCGACCAATGCAGGGATCGGATGCACGGCCTCCAGGTTAGCAAGCCAGCGTCTTACCCACTTGGTCACCGTGGCTCCCTCTCAAAATCCAAAGGTAGAAATCCCGAAGCAATATACTGTAGTTTTATTAAGGGGTTAATTTGTCTTTATTCCTGACCCCCAGTTGTATGTGACAAGGAGTAGAGTAGTGGGTTTCCTCCGGGCCCTCCGGTTTCCTCCCATGTTAGTCCCGAAATGACCTAGTTTGTGTTGATTGGACGTTGAACCCCCCGTTTCTCTCTTTTATTCGTGACAATTGAACCTAGTATCAAGTATCTTATGTTTAAAGCTCTTTAGATTTATATTTTGTACATTTTATTTCAGTGCTATTGTTCTATTCCGTCCTAAAAGATTCCAGAGTAAATTTGAAGATAATAAATTGGAATTTAAAGGTGATGCTACAGTCAATAAATTAAAAGAATGGCTTAAAGATAATGTGTAAGTCTATACTAAACTATACATATTGCTCTCTCCAGTTACAGGAGCATTAGACAAAGAGCTGGCAGTTCTCACTATAATAGTTAAAAGGTAGATAATGTAAAGGGTATTTGCTGAAAATATCAGTCAAATTGATCCACTTTGAACCCAGAAGGGGGGGTGGATGGCCGAATAGTTAGCACGTGCGTGCTGTAACATAAAGTCTGTCATTGAGTCAACTAGCGTGGTTTCAAATCTCGGTTGTACGTGACAAGGAGTAGGGTCGCCTGTCCAACCTCGTGGGTTTTCTCCGGGTCCTCTGGTTTCCTCCCACTGCTAAATACCCCTACGCGCAAGCGAATTATTAAAATAAAATTAAAACCATATGTTAGTCCCGAAATGACCTAGTTTGTGTCGAGTGGACGTTAAACCCCATTTCTCTCTCTTTTTGAACCCAGAATTTTAGGCCTAGCCTCAATCATCATTACTAAAGTACGATAAAAAAAACCAAACCCATAGCCTTGATTATCCAGTTTTGGATTTAATCATCAATGAGTGTTGAGCAGCAGATCGGATTCAAATCCAGTGAAAATCCAACACATAAGATGGCATCTAGAGTTGCTAATTAATAATTTAGAGAACATTTTAGGCCTAAAGAAAGACCTGCAATTGGCAGATTTATCTCCTGCATAATATATGTTTAATGCCAATAAATCCCAAATTCCACTTTTTATACTAATAGATTATATTTGATATTTTCAGATTAGGTTTATGTTGTCACAGAACACAAGATAATGCTGATAAATTGAAAAAACCTCTATTCGTAGCTTACTATGATGTAGATTACGTGAAAAACGAAAAGGGTACCAACTATTGGAGAAACCGGTAATGACAAAAAGAGTTTTTAATGTATCCACATTCTTGTTCAGAAAATATCTTCATACAGCAATAGAGCCTATTCCTTGGGACACACTGAAAAAAAACCCAACCCAAAAAACGATTTATGGACATCATATTCTTGTGTTTATGTACTATTCAAGCAAGGATCCTCCAACCATTAGAGTGGACTATATAGATGCGTAAATCAAAACATTATTCATCCTTTCCCCTCAACCGGGAAGATGTATGCGACGAGGAGTAGGTTCGCCTGTCTAACCTCATGGGTTTTCTCCAGGTACTCTGGTTTCCTCCCACTGCTAAAGATCCCTACATGCAAGTGAATTATTGAAATAGAATTGAACCATGTGTTCGAAATGACCTAGTTTATGTAGAGTGGACGTTAAACCCATTTCTCTCTCGCAACCGTGGATTGATCATTTGCAGAACATGGAGTTTGCATGATATGATGGGCTGTATGAAATATATTGTGTTACTAATACTTACTATATAATACATATCAATGATGACAAACTATATCTTTGATAAAACATGATTCTTGATCGATAGGACTGAGATGTGTATATATACGTCATAATTTACTAACATCTTTGTACGTTGTCTTCACCTGTGTTCGTCGGTCCATTTGTAATATTTACAAAGACGCTACTTTAGACTTCCCAGTCGTCGTTGTTTGTATTTTAGAGGAGAGCCGGAAAAAGTCCCCTTTAACAAATTGAAAAAATCACTCCCCTAAAAAAAAGTTCTCCTAGTTTCATTTAGAAACAATCCTGATTAAAACACAGATCCTATTTCGTTTCGTTTTTTAAAGTTCAAAATTTTGTTTTACTTGTCTTTACTACACTAGGATCTGGAAGACTTGTTATCATTGACGTGTTTTTAATGATGTGAGGGAATAGCTAATGAAACGATCTGTTATGGCGAGCTTTAGGTGTGTTTTGCACGGAACTGTGGGTAATCCACTAGTAACATCAATGCTGATTGGTTAATCAAATGTCTGACATCATAGGGTCATAAGTCGGTCTTTTGACCCCTGACGTGACCTATCACTATAACTTGTCAGATCTTCATGTAGTGTAGGATATCGAAAGTTTAAAAAAATGAAACGAAACGAAATATAGATCTGTATTTTAATCAGATGGATTTAGAAATGATTAAGGAGATTGATCTGATATTAAGAATAGTAATTAGTTGTGTGTATGGGAAAAGGTTCTGAAGATCAATAACTGCATGTTGCGGGGTCATTCATGCTTTCTCGATTCCCCAATTGTACATGACAAGGAGTAAGGTCACCTGTCCAACCTTGTTTGTTTTCTCCGGGCCCTCCGGTTTTCTCCCACTGCTAAAGACCCCTACGCGCAAGTGAATTATGGAAATAAAATTGAAGCATATGTTAGTCCATAGTTTGTGTGGAGTGGACGTTAAACCCCAGCTCTCTCTCTCTCTCTCTCTCTCTCTCTCTCTCATATTCATGCTTTCATAAATGATAATAAACACCTCCATGGCTTTGTAAAGGAGAGCGATTTTCAATATTAAGGGGAGGGACATTCAGGTGCGCAACAGGTGCTCGAGAGTGGTTGCTCGACTTCCCCAATCCAAATTAATTCTCTTGTGAGGGTAGATCTCTGGTTCACCATGTATGGCATGGATTAAAATGTACTGAATCTAAAAAACACATGTGAGATAGGCCATGTTTTATTCAACCTCTATAAATACAAAAGATTTCACACATGGGATATAACTCCCGAGGACTCCAATAAAGAACAAAGGGGTGAGAACTCTTCCATAAAAGGTGGCATTACGATATGAGGGAGAGTGATTATGTAGGCTTTGCCTTTTTCCCAATCCTAAAATGAAATAAAATGTTTATCTTAAAAAAATATGACCCTGTGAACAAATACTTTTTTGTTTTCAGAGTAATGAAAGTCGGAAAAAAATTGCTAGATGCTGGAAAGCAAATATATTTTGCCGTCAGTGATCAAACAGAAATGGGTCGTGAAATAGATGAATGTGGATTAGGAAGTTCAAGCGATAAACCACGAGTTTGTGCCTTCGATTCTCGAGATAGAAAATTTAACATGCAAGACGAATTTAGGTAAGATTGATTTAGTTCTACGATTAATTAACTCTTCATCACTGTTCATGGTTCAATAATTCATCTTAAAAATGATATGATCATTTGACAGTGAACAAGAAGTTCATTGTTTTATGGTTTTTTTTACAACGCAGTCATATTCATTTTCTAACTGTTGGCGCAGAAATATTGTACCATCTTAAACATAAATCTGCCTATTGCAGGTCTTTCTTTAGGCTTTGAAATGTTTTTTAAATTATTAATTAACAAAACAAGACCATTATCAACTCTCAGTGGCATCGGATACTTGAGATTTTAACCGTTCTCCATTTAAAAATGTGAAAGTGAGTAAGTCTCAAATATACCAGTGCCCTGGTTACTACAATGCACTCATCTTGTCAAAACTACAAACAGTGATAACTTGTCTCAGAATGAAGTAATTTGAATGAAATTTTCAAATTATTCATTTTACATTATCTATTTTCGAACTGTTATAGCAAGAATGGCCAGCTCTTTATCTAAATCTTACATAATGTATCTTTAAGTAGGTCATTTTGATGCCAATGGCACAATTTGTTTACATATGTAGCCAATCAAAAGTGAAGTACATGGATTGATGAATAGTGTTGACAGAAATATTAAAATCAAGGGATTTTTATACCAAAGTTATTTTAATGATATTTTATTAACAACATATCAATGATGACAATCAATCCTTTGATGTAGAAATGATTCTTGATCGATAGGACTGAGATATGTTTCATACTAACCTATTGTAGCTGTGTTTCCTAAACCTAATCTGAATTAATGTTTTTGCTCCAAATGGCAGAGATTGGAGGTTGACAATCTGTTTCTAATTCCATTGATATTTCACTACCATTGTTTTCCTGGGCACAGATGAACTATTTAACCAAATGTTGCATGAAATTGTTTGCCTAATCAGGCCACGAAATTCCACGCGGGCATAAACACTCAAGCATTTTTCTGGTTACGCCAAAATTTGAAATTTCGTGGCCTGCTAATTCCCAGTGTCATTGGTCAGGAAGAAGGTATCTTCGAGAAAGATTTTGCTTGTTACAACTAAAACACATTTCTGTATTTCAGCATGGAAACATTTGAAAAATTTATCAATGATGTTTTAGATGATGCATTAGAGCCATATTTAAAATCTGAACCTGTTCCAGAACAAACTGATGGAGTTCAGGTAAAATATACAGAACAATTCACTCATTATTGAATGATACGTCATTCAAAAGCTAATTTAGGCCTTTAATATTATAAAAACTATTGATTAGATATTTATTACCATGACAACACCTTAATCAACTCTCTAGGTTATCGGATGATCCTGATTTTAAGTCCGTAATCAACTCTTAATGCCATCAGATACTCGCGATTTTAACTAGATTAGAATGGTTTGACCATTCAATGATATAATTTAAAAATGGAGAAGCGAGACTAACTCTTGAATAAACAATTCATTTTGATAATGAGCGTCCAATTTACAAGCATTTAATTTCTCAACTGAACAACCCGATTGATTATTGATGTATAATGATTAATTTTTTAACAGTGGTCAGGAAATTAAATACTTGTAAATTGGACACTTATCAAAATTAATCATTCAGCTTTAAACTGGACACAAGTACAAATTGGATGATATTGGTGATTTTAAACGATTGTTACGAATTTTTAAACAAAGATTTGATATTAAACGAACAAGAAAGAAATTAGTGCTAGATACACAAGATTAAATGATACCTGGGTTACAGTGAAATGACCAACACAAGTAAATTGTTGACAATATATTTAATCTCATCTCCGTGTTTTCAGGTTGTTGTAGCTAAAAACTTTGATGAAATAGTAAATAATGAAGATAAAGATGTCCTTATTGAATTTTATGCTCCATGGTGTGGACATTGTAAGACTTTAGCACCAAAATATGATGAATTAGCAGAAAAGGTAGGCTTATTTTTATTTATAACTTAGGGAACTTATCAAGGAATATACAATTATTGGTGGAATTGTAGAAAATAAAGAAATTAAAAAAACAATAGTTTAAAATTTCAAAAACTAATGTTAAAGTTTTCAAAACTAATATTCAATATTCTGAATGTCATTTGGTCAAATTTATCTATAAGAATGACCTTGCTGATAATTTAGTTTAATAATAGTACACGGAGCTGCAACATATCAGTGATGACAATCAAGTCTTTGATGTAAAATGATTCTTGATCGATAGGACTGAGATATGTTTCCTTACTACAAAACTCATGTTTTTGAATGATTGCACTAAGATAGCATGATATTAAATAGGATATGTACAAACTCCAGCACCACCTACCATCTTTATTAAAATGGTTTGATTGGCCTCCTTTTACTCGGATTGAATCTGGAGACTGAGATTCTCTACTGTTCTTAATGAAATGTTAAATAATTAATTTAGAAAGGATGAAGCTGTGGAAAATTTAATATTTTAGGTAAAATGCTAATAACTTTTAACAACAAAGTTATTGTTGAATTTCTAAACAGTGTGCTATACTACATCTAAACTCAAAATTCGTTTTTGGATATGTTTAAATATGTGTATATTGTATCAGCAGCGCCAAGCAAGTGTTGTTGGACTATCTGGTAGTCTCGGTCACCCAGAACCTGGGACCGTTGTCAATATTTGACCAAAAGTTCCATTGTCCATGCACCCCTTCCCACAATTCTTGCATTATTATAAACAAACATGAATCGTGATGACAAATTAGGATTAATTAAAAAAAAAACAACATATGGCCCATGAAGAGAGAAATTTTACAATAGAAAAAAAAAGGGGGTGTTGGATATTGAACTGGCAATGCAATCGAATGGATTTTCTAGAATGGCATTCATGCACGTCGCTCGACATCGTGTTTTAGTACTAGTTGCCTCCCTTAGACTTTGTTTATGATAATGTGAAAGACCGGATAATCTAGGCAATGACCCATTATTCTCAATTGTTGACAATACATCCAGACAAATATTCGTAGAATATTTTTCTGGATGACAAATAATTAAAAATTATTATTTTAGTAGATAGTACTTTATTTTTTATGTTCTTCTTTTGTTTAGTTACAAAATGAACCCGAAATTACTATTGCCAAAATGGATGCAACAGCCAATGATGTTTCCAAACCATATGAAGTATCTGGGTATGTAGTGATTTCAATCCTTCGTTAGTTAGTAATTTTGTTATTGATAAAAATAAACCATTATTTAATACTTAAAATGTTCATATGTTTTGTGTCTGCTGTCTCTTGTCATGATTTTTCTGTATCTCTATTTGGTTGTGTGATGCAATTCCCTTTCATTGAACTCTAGTTTCCTCCCCTGCTAAAGAACCCTATGTACAAGCGAATTATTGAAAAAATGAACTGCAAGATAGCACTTATTATAAAACGTCATTCCATTTCATGACATCTGATTTTGATATTTCTTGTTTTTCAGCTTCCCAACACTTTATTTTGCACCTAAAGGAAAGAAAGCTAACCCAGTTAAATACAATGTAAGTTTTATTTTAGTTTGGATTTTATGTACTATGATTGAAAACAGATGTGATATACGAGGTTGGATTTTATACAATGTGACGTACGAGAACAAATTTTGCATTTTTGTTCGACCAGGATCTGGGCCCTGTTTCACGAAAACTTAAACTAAAATCACTAAAATAGATTTTAACTAAAATCAAACTGAAATTTTAAATTTCATGCGTTTCACGAAGATCGATTGTAACTTACAATGCAATTTTAATAGATTTTAGTTAAAATGTCTGATGTCATAAGTCAAAAGCCACGCTTATGACCTGACGCGACCTATCGCTACAACCGGTCAGATCTTGATGTAGTGTAGGCCATCGAAAGTATAAAAAAACGAAATATAGATCTGTATTTTAAACAGATTGACCATAGGGGGTATCGAATCGCAAGGACCTTAATTGATACTTGTGAATTATATTGAACTTGCCGTTAATAGACTGTTCACTGTATTTTTAATATTTTTTATTTATTTTATCCTTATTTATAAATATTGTTTTTTCTAGGGTGGCCGTGAGGTAGATGACTTTATTAAATATTTAGCTAAAGAAGCCACAAACGAATTAAAAGGGTACAAACGAAATGGCAAAGCAAAGAAGACAGAACTCTAGGCTTCCAAATTTCATAATTTCATATCATAAGTTATCATCATCATCATTATAAATAATTCATTCATACTATTAATTATCTGTTATATAAAATGTTTACCAATAGACTAAAGATCGATCCAGGGCTCTTTAATTCAAAATTTGTCAGTCTGTCCATTCTTTTGTTTACCTTCTGCTCGCTAGCCTGGAGGTTGGGTGATCGACCCCTGCTTTGGCCTAGAAAGTTCACCCAGATTTTCCGGCGTGGTTCCCTCTTGTCAATGATGCAGGACGGAGGGCCTGTCAAGGACAGCTGTCTAGTCGTTCGGATGAGACGAAAAACAGCTGGAATTCGATATAAGAGTAGGCCGTAGTGCCGCTTTACGGGCAAAATTTCCCTCATAGCACACTGAATGGCATATGCCCGTCCCCATTAGCCAAGTTCGGAGCAAAACAGTAGGGCGTTAAACCCCATTTTATTTCTGTTTACCTTCTGATTGGTCAAATATTTTTGACACTCAATTAAAGGGGCATTATGGGAGATTAGATAAAGAGCTTGCAGTTAACGTAAATAGAATACGCTAAAAATTTCAGTCAAATTGATTCACTCTGAACTGAGATATTAGTGATTGAATTTTACTAAAGTTGGTACGATGGGATGAAAAACAGTCTTGCTTATCAATCACAAAATGAATTCAAATCAAGTAAATATCGTAGACTAACGATGGCATCGAGAGTTGATTATGGTCTGGATAAGTCAGATTTACCTCTTGCATAATGTATGTTTAATGAACCAATTACTGAATATTGATGCGCAGAAAAAACTCACATTTTATGTTTTAAATAAAATAGTTTTATGCAATTTGACAGATCGATTGTCCAGCTGGTTAGTTTTATTACTGGTTTAGTCAGGACTGGCAAATAGGACGGAAGATAGAGCCCTGGATTTATTATTAAAATCACATCAAGTTCTTCGAAATTGTTTTGGTTGTTATGTTTGTTCATTATGGCATTTTCATAATCGATAGTTATGGATGGAAGATTAGAATTTTTATTAATTTGTTATTTATTCATGCACTTGCCTTTAAAAACGATCAATTTTCTTCCTAATTCGCTTTCTAAACTAATCTCATTCGTATCCATTTAAACCTTTTTATTTTGTGAGTTGTACATTTATTGGTGAAACTAACTGTTGAAGAATGTCTTTGTTTGAAAGCTATTTAATTTGGTTTTATTTCGAGGATTTAATAGTCACTCTCTTTCATCAAGAGTTTGAACATAAATTAGGGATAAATAAATGTAATATTTAAATTTAATCATTTGTGTCTTCTGTTTTTGATTTGTCTATTTTTTTTTTATTGGGAGCCACGGTGGCTAAGTGGGCAAGAGGCATGGAGGTTGCATGTTTGATCCCAGCATTGGCCCTTGTCGTAGGTGAGCGACGAAGGCCCTGACAAGGACAGCTGTCTATTTATATGGATGTGATGAAAAACACATGTTCCATGTATACATTGGAATGTACGTAAAAAGATCCATTGGCAGTTGGAAATTAATATAAGGCTAGGCCATAATGCCGCTGTCCGGGCAAAATTTCCCTCATAGCACACTGTATGGCGTATGCACGTCTTAATTGGCCCATTCGGAGCAGAACAGTAGGACGTTAAACCCCATTTAATTTAATCTGAAGAACTGGAGTTACATATACCGGTAGATCATTTGTCTACAACGCAAAATATGTATGAATCTTACAACAGCTCCATTTCTCAGCATCTTCCAACAATTTAAAACAAACCCCAGGACAGGAACATTTGTAACCTAACATATTCAGATATGGATATCAGTCGAAGACCTGCTGTGTGTTGCCCAAAGCTCAAAAGAACACCAAAAATGGGGTGGATCAAATATTTGGGGTGCCACTTGAAATGAACCAGTACATCTCAGTAAAGAATTTTTTCTCCGCATAAGGACCCATGGCAGTAACGCTGGGTTAACCACTGGAGGTACCACAAAACAAAATTCAAATTAATACTAGACTCTACAAATATAACACCCAATGCTAGACAAATTTGTCTGCTGCTTAAAGATACATTATGGGAGATTCGATAATAAGTTGGTAATTCTCACTATAATAGTTAAAAACTAGATAATGTAAAGGCAATTTACTGAAAATTTCATTCAAATTGATCCACTATGAACCGAGAACTAAGCGGTTGAAATTTCCGGCTAGCCTTGATCATCCTTACTAAAGTCAGTGCGAAAAACAGCATAGTCTCGATTATCCATTTCATCGTTAAATCGTGAAGGAAAGTTATGCAGTAAATCGGCTCATAATCCACTAAAGATCGCAGGCTAGCGATGCTATCTAGAGTTGATTATGGTCTGGATAGGTTAATTAATGTCTAATTAATAATTTAGATAGCATTTCAGGCCTAAAGAAAGACCTGCAATAGACAGATTTAGCTTTTGCATAATGTATGTTTAAGGCTTGCCAGGCACCCTTCAAAGTTAGGCACTCCCTATGGACACAACTGGAATTAGGCTACAATATATAGCCGAACAGTCACTCGGTAATAGTTATTGTACCCCGCCTTTTCAAGAAAGCAGTGGACTAATAATATTAAAATGGGTCTGTCCATCACACATTTTTGGACACAACTCTCCTAAATGAGCTAGACTGTTCGAACCTGGTGTAGGTGTTTATTAGGTGAATGCTTTGATGGAGTTCGAAAATGAGTAGTTTCATTATATCATTACCGTGACTAAGTTCGATAATGAGCATTTTCTGCTTCGGCCAAGTAGTGATGAGCAATTTGATTAGTCCAGACTGTTTTTAATTGAGACAGAGCGTTTAAACTTGATGTAGATGTTCATTAGGTGAATGTCTTGACTGAGTTCAATGATTAACATTTCCCATTAAAGCTAAGCAGTTTCATTAGTCGATGCTTTGGGACAAGATAACTTTGATTCTAACTAATGGAGAGTGGTGAAACTTAGTGTATAGTTTCACTACCGGGTACTTCAAAACTTGGACTGAGTTTGATAGTCAAAATTTTCTGCTTAGACCATGTATAGATAATCTGAATGTTCAATACTTCTGAAAATGGTAAATGTGCAATTAATAAATATGTGTCATCTATTTATTTTGGGATTTCGGCCGAGGACATCAGCTTCACTGTTAGCTTGTATTACATATAAATTATGTTGTGTGTAAACAAAGTTACAATCTTTTTCTAGTAATAATTAACTTTGCTGTCATTTTAATACATGCATACAAAAACTTACACAAATATAAAAGTTGTATCCAATAACATAACAAGATTAACAGGAAAAAGTTGAATGCTTCTATAAAATATAACTTGATAACAACTTAATTTCTGATAGAAATCACTTCTCTGTAAATTAAAGTGTATTTTCTTTCAACAAACCATTTAAATAAATAATTTTTCGTTTTGGGTCACCAATTTCAATTAATACAAAGTTCTATGCATAAACAAACTATAAACATACTTATGGAAAACAATTACTGTTTTATTTAGGCGACCTTTCGAAGAGTATTCTCTCAACGTTTTCAACGTCTTCGAAACATCGCCTAAATAAAACAGTTACTGTTTTCCATAAGTATGTTTATAGGTTATTTATCTGCCCAGTTACTAAATGCCACTTAAAGAATTCTATGCATAAGTTAGAACTTTTGTGGCTTGAAGCAGCTGTTGAACACAATCAATATACTTGTAATCAGTTTTCTCAATTCTATCCATACCTTCTTCGGATATTGTTATTTTCATTAAATGATACAGATTAGAGCGGAACTCTGTATTTTCCGCTAATTCGTCAGAAAACTCATCACTGATTTCCGTTGTTTTCAGCTTCATGGCACGCGTTTTGGTACTTTTATAAACGGACCAATCTTCCTCTAATAATGGTTCGTCATTTAACGATTCACTTCCTAAATACACGATACTGTGTAGATCAGCGTCGGCATTCCACTTGGACCAAGAATATGCCATAGCTGAAGACGTCAGAGCCATTTGTTCGTAAATTCTCTCCTCCAGTAAAGTGTCTTTAGTTTGAACATTTACAAATTTGGAAGAATCTTCAGCAGGGAAGATATTAATACCCGAGGCTCGCATGGCTTTTACTAATTCGGATGGATACATCCATTTATTTAATAGATGTGTCACTTCCGTTCTGTCGGAGGGTTGGGTTAGGCAGCACACATCATTTTTAATTTCTATTTGGATGTCAACAACTGCTGCTATAACTGTTAAAATGGCATTGTCAACATTTCTGGGTCGAATTTCCCAAGACTGGAATGGCATGTTTATATGTGCATCTTGGAACAAAGCAATTTTTCCAAAATAACTTGTCTTAAACTGAACAAATCTCTTTTCTTCGTCATACTTAACGTCGGAGAAACCATCTTGCCTCCAGTGTTTTATTGTCGGATCCCAGCGTCCAGGTTGTGGTTCATCAACGAACATAGTATCTTCTGGCAGACGATAAGAGATGCTAATAGGGGGTTTATCTTCACGTTTCTTTTCTTCTTGTCCCTCCTTGTCTTTTGGAACTGGAGTAAGGGATGCAGTATCAGCTACATATGTTATTTTTCTTATTTCTGGTGGACAAACTAAAGGAGTTATGGTCCATGAATTCACTTGTTTAGGTTGAGGAGGTAGCTCAACCAAATCAAATGATATTACTCCTCCCAAAATATGATAGGCTCGTAAATCAATAATATCGTCATCTTCATCAAAGTCTTCCCACTCGACTGGTTCTGGGGTTTCTGGATCTTCGAAATCATCTTCTTCTTCTGGTTCTTCAGGCTTTTCTTCTTCAGCAGGCTTTTCAGCATCTTCATCTTCTTCATCTAAATTCTGGAGAGCAGCCATGACATCTTGTGTGTCTTCTTTTTCAACTACTTCTTCAGGATTTTCCTCATTTTGTTCACCATCTTGATTTTCTTCTGAACCTTTTTCTTCGATCTTCTCAGGTTCTGGCTCTGGGACTTCTTTTTTCTGTTTTCGTTTTGGATAGAGTGCTGAACTTTGATAGGAAAGATGGTCATATTTAGTAAATAAAATACGAAAAGCACAATCGTTTAAAGATAACATTCTTGGGATATCGAACGTAAAACCTTTCTCTGTGAATTCAAACGGTTTGATTCTCTTCTTGCTCAGGTTACCCCAGATACAAAGGCAGATATTTGCTGTTTCGACAGTATATTGCAAGTTATAGGTTTCTGAATCCTGTAAATCAGTGGCATTACATAATACCTGAAGACTAATATCGTCCAATTTTTTACTCATCAAATTTTGAATTTCAACAATAGCCTCCTTGTAATTGGCCTCTTCATTTACAGATAAATCTCCAGAGTCTGACAACCAATGGTGCAGCTCTTCAATTAGAGCGTTGTCCTGCTCAACATGTTTCAAAAGGTCTAAGGACTTTCCTTCATTCTGGTCTTCAAGGCGTAAATTGATGTAAGTATTTATTTCCCCCGGCACAGTTGGATCTGGAGATCCGTCACATTTCATATATCTGGCCCATTTTGCATCTTTACGTTTCTGATTTTCAAGGGTATCTAAAGCAGATTTATTTGATTCTAATATTGAGAATAATTCTTTCATCTGTACACTTCTTTCTTTTTTCTCCTCTTTTTCTTGTTTCTTTCTCTCTTCTGCTTGTTCCATTTCAACTCGTTTTCTTTTTTTCTCTTCTTCGTGAGCTAGCAGTCTTGCTTCTTCCTCTTCCTGTGCCTTTTTCTCGGCTTCTTCTTTTTTTAGCTTGTCTTTTTCAGCTTTCGACAATTTCTTTTTTCCTTCTTTAGGCGGCATGGTTGCAGTGTACAGTATTTAATCTGCTAAAATATACCTTGCCTCGATGAAGGCTTCTTTTGATGTTTTGTTTGTGCTAGCAACCATCAAACTTCCGGTAGACTTTTTAACGATATATGTCGTAAATGTCAGTTTTTATTTTCGGTTCTGATTGATAATTCACCAATTAAATCATACGGTTATTTGTACGAAATACTAAGTTTATGTTTATTTGACCTTCTACTAAATTAATATCATTTGTAACAATGCTGGAACATTAAAAAATAAATTATGGTCGTTATTGTTTACACCGACCTATTTACGGTTGAAACGGTCCGCTTAAAATTGTTTGACAGCCGCCGCAAGTGTTTGTAATAATCATTCTGAATGTTTTAGAAAACCAATCTGTTCACCAAAGGCACCTTGCAAATTTTAGCAGACCAAAGGTTATACATTCAGAACCATGGTGAGAGAAGAAAGGGGTGTATGGAGGAGCTGGGAGTTTGTCTAAAAAGAATCAAAATAGCCTACTCTACTGTCCACCAGACCAGGCTACTCCCTTCCCACGAAAAAAAAAAGAGAACAGGCTAAGCCTAATGAAAGTCATAATCTAAACAACCAATTTCAACCTTTCTCCCAGCTCCCTTGAGACATGAACTAAAATATGACCCATTCCACCAAACTGATCCGAATTACAATTATTACTTAATTAATAATATTGGCTGCTAATCACTGAGTCACTGAAATTTGAGAGAGCCGAAAGGCATATAAATTAGAATTTAGAAAAAGTAGAGCTGAAAGTTAAAAACGCTTTAATTTGAATTAAAGTTCAATTAGCTTATTAACTTTTTATTCACTGTTGAGAAAATTCGGAAACTATTTTTAAAATTATTTAAAGAATGAATGAAACATTTGTAAGTCTAGATTTGAAACTTACATGTGACATATATAAAGTTAATGTAAACCGTAGAACGGTAGTACGGTAATGTACTACCATAAACCGTAGTATTGTCTGCGATATCACCTCGGTGGAAGCGGACGTAAAATACAACTAACACTAGTAACACACACACATGTAGAACAAATTCGGCTAGTGTACGTGAAAGCACAGATGTCTGACACCCCCAAGCCTTTTTTGTAGCTATTTTGTGGCTACTGATCAATGGAAAGTTAGAACAATAAAGGAAAAACCCAGTCTTTTGTCTTGTTTTCCAAACTTTCAAATTTAAATTTAAATATTATTTGATAATATTCACACAGATGCGGCCCCTTCTTCACAAGGCTAGGAGCAGGGTCGCCCAACTAATCCTGTGGCCTTTCTCTGAATGAACTCGTTTTCCTCCCATTTCTAAAGTAAAGATACACTTGTGTGTTGTTCCGAAGCTACCAGGTTAATGGACATTATTAAACCATGCGAGGGGGGGTGTACGGCTGATTGAATGCTTAGCATGTGCACATTGAATAATTATAAGGTCTGTCATTGAGTCAACTGGCGTGATTTCGATTCTCCAGTTGTATGTGACAAGGAGTAGGGTCGTATGTCCAAACTCTTGGGTTTTCTCCGGGTCCTCCAGTTTCCTCCCACTGCTAAAAACTCCTACTCGCAAGCGAACTATTGAAATAAAATTGTAACATGTTAGTCCTGAAATGACCTAGTTTGTTTTGAGTGGAGTTAAACTATGCGACTAACTTCAGGGATTTAGTGTAGACCTACTCTGTTTCTGCCCATTTCTAAAAATCCCAATGCATAATTGATTAATTGAATAAAAAACTTAAGTTTATATCCTCCCTCTCTCTCCCTCTCTCTCTCTCTCTCTCTCTGGGGGATCACGTGGCTAAGTGGGTAAGACGCTGGCTCGCTAGCCTGGAGGTCGGGTGTTCGATCCCTGCATTGGCCGAGAAAGTTCATCCAGATTTTCCGGCGTGTTTCCCCCTTGTCAGTGATGCAGGGCAGAGGGCCTGACAAGGACAGCTGTCTAGTCCTTCAGATGAGACGAAAAACCGAGATCCCGTGTATACATTAGAATGCACGTACAAGATCCCTTGGCAGTTGGAATTCGATATAAGAGTAGGCGATAGTGCCGCTGCCCGGGCAAAATTTCCCTCATAGCACACTGTATGGCATATGCCTGTCTTCATTAGCCCAGTTCGGAGCAGAACAGTAGGACGGAGCAGAACAGTAGGACGTTAAACCTCATTTCATCTCATTTCATTTTAACCTTCTGTAACCAGGCTAATTACAATAAAACTAAGGGCCCATCTGTTGATAATAATAGACTGTATTAGTAAAACGCAAATAGTTTGATTAATACACTACCTGCACTGAGTATCATGCATAATTTATCATGAAAGGAAAGAATCTGACTGTTTACATTCCTAAATATTCTCTAGACATTAAACATACATTATACAAGAGCTAAATCTGCCTATTGTATGTCTTTATTTAGGCCTGAAATGTTATATAAACTATTAATTAGACATAGGCTACTATTAACAAGAGAAAACCTTATTCAACTCTCGATGGCATATTATGTGTCGGATTTTCACTGGATTTAAATTCTATTTGCTGCTCAACGCTTATTGATGATTTAATCAAAAAATGAATTGTCGAGACTGTTTTTTTATCGTACCAACTTTAGTAATGATGATCGAGGCTAGGCCTAAAATTCAAACACTAATATCTCGGTTCAGAGTGGAGCAATTTTGAGCATATTCCCTTTACATTATCTAGTTTTCTATTATACATAGTGAGAACTTCCAGCTCTTTATCTAATCTTCCTTAATTCCCTTTAATAATATCACAAACTGCACCTCTTTTCCTTGCCTGGAAATAATTTTTAAAACTTCGCATAATTATTCATCAAACCGAATGCCTTCTTTAACTCTGTGTTAAATAAGGCATTGAAAATGACAAAAAAATAAAATAAATCCCCCCCCCCCCCCAAAAAAAAATTATTTGTGACAGATACCAGAAGAACTGAGTATCAAATGTGAGGCAGACATTGTCACTCGGTTACAGATGTCTTACTACCAGGCCTAATTATTTACATGTTTTCTTGATTTTGATTTATGTCAGTATTAAATTGAAAAATTATTTTAAATGCACAATAATAAAATGATTAATTTACACAAATTGCTTATCTGATTATTTCTTGATTTTGATTTATGTAAGAATTAAATTGAAACATTATTTTAAATATACTTTAATAATACGATTAATTTACACAAGTTGCCTATCTGATTAATTATTGATATCTAAATAAAATGAGAATCAATAAAAAAATTGAAAATCCTAGAAGAGAGTTGATTAATGATCTCTAGTTAATTAGTTTCCTCATTATTTATTCAGTAAGACAATATGCTACCTTTTAGCTGGGCCAATAGGAATACAGTACTAACACTTGTTGAAGGATAACCCAAGTATATAGAATTTATTTGGTTATTTGTAGAGGTATGGATGACAGTTGGATATAGGTAGATTTTTACCTGCAAAAGAGTAATGAGTTCTACTAATCAACAGCCAGGTAGGTATTTTAAGATCTTACTGTATTATAAACTGTAAAAAAACAATACGTTGGTGAAAGTAAACATGTCTTCGATAAAAGAATCAAAGAACACTATGCAGACATTAAACATAATAGACCAATACTTTTCAACCTGAAAGGACACATGAGTAGAAATGTTATGATTAAAATTATAGAGCTTTTTAAGACTGACCCAGATAATGGAAAAACAAGGCCACTAGAAAAACCCATGAGTTCAAATGGATTCAAACTTAACTTTCGCACCCGATAGCATTAACGATAAGATGTCGTCCTGAAAGGCTGTTTGATTACTGTAACTGAATGAAACCCATCAAATTTAGTACTAGTATTTAATTTTTTTTATTTAATTGTTTTAAATATATAATATAGGCATTCAAAAATGCTGGTGTTGTCATGAATAGGGCTGTGCGATACCTACACTTCAAGGTTTGAAGGAATCACTAAATATTTGTCATGGGAAACTAACATTCAGTGATTTATTTTGGGTAGAGTAGTCATATGGTTTTGTACCTAGTCATATGGTTTTGTACCTTATTTGATATGACAGATATTTTTATCTGTATTTAATTTAATCATGTAAGAAATCCAAAAAAATTATGATTATTAATTATTTTCCATAGGTGGTTCATCTTACCAACCTCCAGGCCAAACCAATCAGTATGGATCACCTCAGGTAAGACTTAATATTGATATTAAGTGTAGTTTAATGGTCGAGTGCGAGGCATAAAGTAATATATTGATATTGTACGAGTGCTTTAGCACGAGGGCTAAATCTATAAGCTTATATTACGCAATTTCTTGCACTAGACCATTAAATTACTTAAAATACCAACACTATCAAGCATCAAGCATCAAGCACATGCATTTCAATGAAATGCGTCGCACGGGTCCAATATTTCAACTAGTATAAATAATGTAAGCTTGTCACATTGCCCGTACCATTATTTGAAATAATGGTATGCCAACATCAAAGGATGACGTCACTTCTGTATTTTTTAAGTACCGTAAACATATTAGATATTTTTTATTTTGTTGCTAGTCATAAGATTTATAATCCGAGTAAAACTAAAGGTTAGGTGGCTGAATGGTTGATGCATCATAAGGTTTTGTCATTGAGTCAAGTGGTGTTGTTTCGATTCCTTGCATGTACGTGACAAGGAGTAGGGTCACCTGTCCAACCTCTTGGTTTTTCTCTGGTTCTTCGGTTTCCTCCCTCTACTAAAGACCCCTACTCGCAAGCAAATTATTGAAATAAAATTGAACCATGTGTTAGTCTCAAAATGACCTAGTTTGCCAAACAGGCAAACCAACAAGCAAACAATGGTCACTAACATAAAGATTTAAAAACATTTAGGATATTGGTCAATCATTGGACCTATAAAATTTGCATGAACTAATTACTACCCTGTTTATATATATATATATCAGTAATATTGGTATGATCAGTTCAAGTTGACTGGTGGTCACATATATTTTTACATTATATTCTTACTGTCTCTGCTGTAGAATAAAGAAGGTGAGAAAAAAGATAAATTAAATATGGAAAATCAAGCTGCAAGTAAAGCTGATCTTAAAGGTATATTAAAAAAACTAGGAACAAAATCACTGCAGTCAGTTACTTCTTTATCAGAGATGGAACCTCTTTTGGCGTCCACACCTATGTCGTCAGATGGACGTATAGATGGACGATATATCTCTTTAACTCAAATGGCCGAGAGGACAAACACTTTCTCTCCAGTTTCCGAAACTAATTCATCTTCCAGTGGCGTAAATCATACTAAAGAAAAGGAACGAATGCCATCTTATCAGTATTCTTCGGATGAGTCACCCAGAAATTATCAAGTTCCTATTGCCAGAAGAGAGACTGGGCAGGCTAGAGGAAGTTCTTCTAAAGAACCGATAACAGATATGAACCAAACAACAGGATCAGATTCAGGAATAGAGACAACTTTTTCCGAAGAAAAACAACCAAAAGTAAGGAGGGGACTGGTCTCTCAAGAAGATCTTGATGAGTTAGAAAAAGAAGAACAGCAAAATGTTCAGTCTAATTCGGGTTATATTGGAAAGGACAGCAAACCTTTGGGAGCTGCTTTAGGACTTAAGAGTAGCATTCAAGAATATGTGTCGCCGTCAAGCCTGCTTAAAAATAAGTACAAGCATCAATCGAATCAAAAAATGAAAGTTCAAACTACGAGCAAGAATGATTATCCATCGAATGATATGATCAGAAAAATATCTCCCCTGGCTTTATCAGAAGCATCACCCAAAAATGGTCAGAAAAAGTCAGATTATAAAGATATCAAGGTTCAGGTCAAAGTTGATCAACTGGACGGAGAAAGAGCACCACTGCAAAAAGAAGATGAAGGAAAACCAGAAAAACCAAGCATGTCGGAATTTCTACTTGATTGCAGTAGCCCATCTGCCATGTTACAAAAAAGAATTGAGAAGGGTATATTGGGTAAACAATCCTCATTGTTGGGTCAGAGTAGTCGGAGTGATTCACCACAGCGACGGAAATCCATAGCTAACGAAAGCATCAACACAGATGAAAGACCCATATTGTCTGGATACAGCCAATATTCCTACACTACTCCTTCAGAGTTGATGCATAGAAATGAAGAAAGGGAACAAAGTCAAAATAGTTCACTTTCTTGTGGTCTTGGTCCAGGGTACGGACAGTTTTCCTATACAACCCCTTCTGAGTTAATCCGAAAAAGTGAGGAAGCATGTCAAGATGGTTCTCCAACACCCTCCTCTCAAGGTATTGGGTTAGAGTATAGACAATTGTCTAATACACCACGACGACTGAAATCCTTGGCTAATGAAAGCAACAACACCGATGAAAGACCCATACTGTCTGGGTATGGTCAAATTTCCTACACTACTCCTTCAGAGTTGATGCATAAAAATGAAGAAAGGGAACAAAGTCAAAGTAGTTCTCTATCTTGTGGTCTTGCTCCAGGGTATGGACAGTTTTCCTATACCACCCCTTCCGAGTTGATCAGAAAAAGTGAGGAAGCACATCAGGATGGTTCTCCAACACCCTCCTCTCAAGGTACTGGGTTAGAGTATAGACAATTCTCTAATCAAGATGGCTCCCCAACACCCGCCTCTCAAGGTACTGGGTTAGGGTATAGACAATTGTCTAATACACCACGGCGACTGAAATCCTTGGCTAATGAAAGCAACAACACCGATGAAAGACCCATACTGTCTGGGTATGGTCAAATTTCCTACACTACTCCTTCAGAGTTGATGCATAAAAATGAAGAAAGGGAAAAAAGTCAAAATAGATCACTTTCTTGTGGTCTTGCTCCAGGGTATGGACAGTTTTCCTATACAACCCCTTCTGAGTTAATCCGAAAAAATGAGGAAGCACATCAAGATGGTACTCCAGCACCCTCCTCTCAAAGTACTGGGTTAGAGTATAGACAATTCTCTAATACACCACAGCGACTGAAATCCTTGGCTGATGAAATCAATAAGATACTGTCTGGAAATGGCCAAGTTTCTTACACCACTTCTTCAGAGTTGATGCAAAAAAATGAAGAAAGGGAACAAAGTCAAAATAGATCACTTTCTTGCGGTCTTGCTCCAGGGTATGGACAGTTTTCCTATACAACTCCTTCCGAGTTAATCCGAAAAAATGAGGAAGCACATCAAGATGGTTCTCCAGCACCCTCCTCTCAAGGTACTGGGTTAGAGTATAGACAATTGTCTTATACATCTCCTTCAAAGATTGTCCATAAAGAAAAGGCACCCAGCTCATTAAATTCTCTCTCTCTTGGCCAGAGTTATGGACATTTATCTTACATGACGCCTTCTGAGATGCTAAAACAATGCAAAGAAAGAGAAGAGAGCAGCAGAAGTACTGAAAATGATCTGCATCGAGACATCTTGTTATCTGCTACCACTAGTTCGTTTCATCGTAGGTCGGTCGATTGGGAAGCTCAGAGTGATGTAACAGTCTATTTCACACAACTATCTTATCTGTTTCATAATGCGGCCATGTTTGCCAAATCGAAAAGTGAGCCAGGATTTATGCGAATGTTTGTTGAATCTGTTGGGTCATCTCTTTACGAGACTAGCCTGACGTATGAGCCAGGATTCGAAGAAATGTCTACTACAAGTCAGATTTCTGTTGAACTTGAAGCCTCGACTTCCGAATTTCTCAAAAAGATGAGACGACATCTAGAAAATCGACTCTCTGATAGATCCTCTGGATCAACGTTATTCCCTAATGATTCCACAACCGATACGGAAATGAGTGATTATTCTTTTGGATATGAAAGTCAATATGAAGATGAATCTGAAGAAGAAAGGTCCGCACGCTTATCGATTTCTGCCTCCTTTAATCAGTTATTTTGGTCGCTGTACGCCATTGATCCTAAAGTAGCTCTTCGAACCGTCGGCTCTGACCTACACTTGTTGCCAGCAGGTCTGATACGACTTGCCCAATCAAATCCACCTTATTCATCTCTTGGATCGAGTACTATCAGTGGATGGACAGATATAACATCAAGCAGTGAAGATGATATGGAGGTATATCTCCGAATGTCACATGTTTCTGTTAATGTTATTGTTCATTGTTACAAGTTTTGAGTTTCAAGATTTTAGATCGTTAATCAAGCAGTGAAGATGATAATTATGGAGGTATATCAACGAATGTCAGGTGTTTCTTTTATAATTTTATAGTTACTGTTAAAGATTGTAAATAGTTAATCTTAACATTTATTGTTGAAGTTTTGGGTCGTTAAATTGAAACACTCGGCAAACCTCAGACGATGTCCGCCATTGGAACTTCTTCAAATTCCTAGATTTAACAACGGCGTTGTCCATGATGACGCCTTTGAAGAATGTTTTATCATACAAATAGTCTGAAGCTGTTTTTCTTTCAAGTTTATCCAATTTTCTTCAAACAAGGAAAACTTTGCACTGAAAGTTCTAAACATGCTTCGAACGATGCAATTTTGATAACTTCTTTTTAAAAGCGGCAAGTTTTCCTAATAAGTACATATCACTTACCGTCATACAGCCGAGGCTAGATGTAGAGTAACGGAATCTGCCGAGGTTTGTCGAGTGTAACTTGAAAACGTGACCTGTATGTGTTACGAAATGCCATTATTAGAATAACAGAGAAGTAGTTATATGCATGTATTGTGTTTTGTTATGAATAGTTAACCATACTTGAAGTTTATATTAGTTCTCTTTCTTTAAAAATGGGACTTATTTTCAATTTAAAGATACATTATGTAAGATTTAGATACAGAGCTAGCAATTCTTTTTATAATAGCTCGAAAATAGATCATACAAAATGCGTATATTAAAAATTTCATTCAAATTACTCTATTAGGAGCGAAGATATAGCCTTTGATTTGAGTGAAGGTTTGAAAAGATGTGTTCATTAATTGCAACCACCACCACCGTACTGGTTGTTTGAGGCTTAGCCTTGCTTCTCCCCTTTTTTAAATTAAATCAAAATATGGCTGAACCATTCTAATCTACTTAATAATAATATTAGAGATATCCGATGGCATCGAAGGATGATTATAATCTTGTCATGTTAATAAATATCTAAAAATATCTAATTAACAGTAATAGTTTATATACCATTTCAGGTCTAAAGAAAGACTTGCAATAAGCAAATTTAGCTCAATTTAATGTCAAAATGGATAATCGAGACTTTGTTTTTTATTGTACCGACTTTTGTAATGATTATTGAGGCTAGGCCTAAAATTCAGTCACTAATATCTTGGTTCAGAGTGGATCAATTTGACTGAAATGTTCAGCATATGTATTTTTTTAACTATTATAGCGAAGACTGTCATCTCTTTATCTAATCTCCCATAATTCCCCTTTAACATCATCATATATATATTTAGTCTTATTGTTACTTGTATTTTCGGACAATATCTAAGTTTTCATGGCTTATTCAAACCTAAAATGCACTCAAATTGATTTCAAAATTTAATTGAGAAAACGAAAGTAGAATATCAAGAATAACGAATAAGCTTATATAATATTCCCACTTCAGTTCATTTGGGCGGGGTTTGGATGGCCGAATGGTTAGCATGTGCGTGCTGTATCATAAGGCCTGTCATTGAATCAACTGGCGTGGTTTCGAATCCCCGGTTGTACGTGACAAGGAGTAGGGTCACCTGTTCAACCTCGTGGGTTTTCCCCGGGTCTTCTGGTTTCTTCCCACTGCTAAAGACCCCTACGTGCAAGCGAATTATTGAAATAAAATTAAACCATATGTTAGTTCCGAAATGTCCTAGTTTGTGTCGTGGACCTTAAACCCCCTCTCTCTCTCTCTCTCTCTCTCTCTCTCTCAATTCATTTTGATTATTTTAAAATTATGTAAGGTATTGGAGGGGAGGGTGAAGTTGGTAATGAAAATTGATGGCTAAATCTATTTGTTAAGGCTGGCTCAATTTTTGTCAAGGGTTGTTGAGATGTAAATAAGGTTAGGGCATGAGTTTGTTGGCAAGATTGTAGGTTATAGTTAGGGTAAGCATTTGGCCTTGTCCATGGTTGGGATTAGCGTTAGCCCTGTTTACATCGCGTGACCTATGACGAAAAATTGAGCTGGCCTTATCATTTAGCACTAACCAAAATGAATCTAGGACCTAATAACAGTCGTAATGTTTTATTTATTTTTTTCCTAGGGTAAAAATGAAGCCCAGAAGAGAAAGTTTGGAGCCTATCAAGGAATTAGTAGTGCAGATTTTCGAAATCTTCAACTGGAAAAGGTACCGAATCTTTCTCTTTTTTTGTTTGTTTTGTAAGCTAAATGCATTGATGTAATATTTATTATAAGTTTACTAGCAGTTGACCTGGCTTGGCATGGGTATAGCTATAAACGGGAAGTAGCATAACTCCGAAACCAGAAGTTGTAGTCCAGCGCCAGCTTGTCTATGTTACTCCCCAGTCCAAGCTACTCCTATACACCAAATTTCAGCCCAGGGACAGCCCTAGTATAGCCGCCAACCCTGAACAGACAAACAAATATAGACATACATTTCTCTTAAATTAAAGACACATTATTCTGGACTAAAAAGCAAATATAGACCCTCAGTTCATACATTTTTAAAAAAAAGTAGCCCCAAAATCAGCCAATCAGAATGTATGTTATGTCAGTATACTGTCATCCATTGCTTTCTATGATGTCATCATTTTCTGTAGAACGTCAATCAGCTATGTGACTTATGCTAGGTTCCCACTATCACGATCAGAGAGACCAGGTCTTCGTATCATATAATGTGGTCAGACGTAGCAGATCGTGGACTCAATAGGGACAATCCAATTTTAACACATCACACGACAGTGGGAACCTAGCATTAAGGATAACTCAATCCATGATCATTGATATCAAGATAACACCTATCTAGGGATCTGAATCACTGCATTATTGTCGGCCTTAGCTGCTTGATGTTTAATCTAACCGATTGGTAAAACAATGAACCGGCCACTATGGTATCATAAATCAATCTACTTACGACTAAATTACATTATAATTATTACTTGTTAATTAAGTAGTCAATCAATTTGCTATATCTTAGTAAGAATCAGACATGTGGTTCATAACCCGAGTAATCAGCACATTTAACGATAATTTTGATAATCAAGTACAAAAACAAAACAAGTTTGTTGATTATTCATAACAGGTCCAGTAAGTTGCCTTTGTGAAAATAAGCAAGTGGCGAATGAAGACGTTCTGGACATGGATTGTGAATCTCGGGAATCGGGCGTCCTCGACCTAACCTAATTTTGTGATTTAGTTTTCTCCATTACACCTTGCGGCCCCTTATTTTTTAAAATTTCAAATGGTAATGACTATTTGCCTTCTAGTCATTTGGATGGAATGAAAAACGAGGACCCGTGTATACATTGATGTGCATGTAAAAGATCTCTTGGCAGTTGGAATTCGATATAAGAGTAGGCCGTAGTGCCGCTATCTGGGCAAAATTTCCCTCATAGCGTACTGTATGGCATATGCCCGTCTTCATTAGCCCAGTCAGAGCAGAACAATATGACTTTTTTTGTAAGCATACCTCGTTAAATCCAGGTGATTTACTGACTAATCAAGTTCAGAAACTAGAACCTAAGAAAGAGTAAACACGTGCCACAGGTAAATACACATGCTACAGGTAAATGAAACACTGAGAACAACAAAGGTGTTTGAATCTCTTTAAATTGAATCTATTTTCAGGAGGATCTTGAAAGTCATGTACGTAAACTTGAAGTTGAGAATTCAAATCTTCTTAGTGAAAATAAGTTGATAAAACAGAAGTTTGAAACAGCTTCAGGTATGTTTGGATTGGTGTAAAATTCAATCTGATTAAAACACAGATCCTATTTCGTGTCGTTTTTATAGTTCAAAATTTCGTTTTACTTGTCTTTACTACACTAGGATCTGGAAGAGTTGTTATATAACCTGCGTTCTGGATGATGGGAGGCATTAGCCAATGAGACGGTCTGATATGGCGAGTTTTTGGCGTGAGGTGCACGGAACTGTGGGTAACCGACTAGAAGCATCAACGCTGATTGGTTAATCAAATGTCATAGGTTCAAAAGCCGCTCTATGACCTCTGACGTGACCTTCCACTACAACTGGTTAGATCTTTATGTAGTAGAGGCCATCAGAAGTATAAAACTACAAAACGAAATATAGATCTGTATTTTAATCAAATTGGCGTAATGATTACATGTATCTGAAAATAAATGGGCGTAATGATTACATGTATCTGAAAATAAATTGGCGTAATGATTACATGTATCTGAAAATAAATTGGCGTAATGATTACATGTATCTGAAAATAAATTGGCGTAATGATTACATGTATCTGAAAATAAATTGGCGTAATGATTACATGTATCTGAAAATAAATTGGCGTAATGATTAAATGTATCTGAAAATAAATTGGTAATATGTTTGCTAGTTATCAATCAGATTAAAATACAGATCTATATTTCGCAGACATTTGATTACCCAATCAGCATTGATGTTTCTAGTGGATTACCCACAGTTCCGTGCAAAACACGCCTAAAGCTCGCTGTAACAGACCGTTTCATTGGCTAAACCCTCACACCATCCAGAACACGTCAATGATAACAACTCTTCCAGATCCTTGTGTAGTAAAGACAAGTAAATGAAATTTTGAACTATAATAAACGTACCGAAATAGGATCTGTGTTTTAATAAGATTGGCTAGTTATTAGATAAGTTGTATCCATAAAACTCAAGAGACAACCCAATTTACATTCTAGTACAGTATTCAGCACGAACTGATGTCATTGATTGAGCTTACATGGTTTATTTACAAATCAGGACGGTTGAATGGCCTAATGGGTAGCTCATTAAACCTCTCTCTCTCTCTCTCTCTCTCTCTCTCTCTCTCTCTCTCCTTCCTCTCTCTTATTTAGAAATCAATAAAGTAATGCCAAAATATTTAAAGATGGAAAGCCAGAAGAAGTCTACTTGTCTCTTGTTACTCGTTGACCCTGTGTGAGACTGATAAGGAAGTTGTCTTAAGTCATTTGTTTGAACTTTGAAAAACAAGGTCCTGTAAACAATGTGGTAGTGCAGATAAATGTATTCCTTCAAAGTTGAAATAGGAGGGCCTGGCAAGGACAGCTGTCTAGTCGTTCAGATGGGACGTAAAACCGAGGTCCAGTGTATACATTGGCATGCATGATAAAGATGTTTTACTAAGCAGTTGGAATTTGATATAATAGTAGGACATAAAACCACTGCCCTGGCATAATTTCCCTCATAGCACACTGTATGGCGTATTCCCATCTTCATTAGCCCAGTCGTAGCAGAACAGTAGGACGTTAAACCCCATTTCGTTTCATTTCATTTTTTCAAGTAGTGAGACATACTCCTGTACTTACAGTACTGGGGCCTGTTTCACGAAATTTTAACTCGGATAAAATCCAAATTTTAGTAATTTGATTGAATAATATTGGGTTGATTTTAGTGTTTAGGCAATCAAAATTGAAGTATCTACTAAAATTTGGATTTTATCTTTAGTTAAAGGCTCAATACCACTCTTGTTGTAACTGAATAATATGTCCCAATCTTTATTCTGGTCAACAAATTGTACTATTTTACAATATTCCAATTAATTGATGATACAAATTTCATCTTAACACACCTAATTTAAAAAATTGGAAAAATTCAACTAAATGATTTGAAAAGCCTAACATAAACCTTTTCAAATGTGACTTGGATTTAAAAATATTTTCGAACCCTCTGGACAAGTAAAATAGGATGTAATGGATAATTTACACAACAGGTAGGACACTAACACATCTAGTACTTAGAATAAGGCTAATATTTATTTACTGGAGCTGTCAAGCCAGCAAGAGTGTTATTGTCCCTTTAAGATTTCAAGAAACAGGCCCCAGAGTTATCTATTTAAAGGTCTATACCTTTAACGGTGATTTATGTTCTTGTGTATTATTAGGTTATTGGGTATTAACGAGGGTCAGGAGATAACAAAAACACTTCAAACAAATAAATAATAAACTCTTACCTTCCTCTTATCTCAAATATTTACTTTAGTATCCTGTGTAAGTGGGTGAAACTATATATTTAAACATTAGGGTAGGGATAGTTAAATCAAGCCATCTCGATTTCAACTATAGAATTTGATGATTAGAATGGATATTATTCGTAGTATTGTACATTGGGATATAATTGAAAATGTATGTTGATTATTTGTTAAAAGTTATAGAAGTTGAGCTAATCAAATGTAAGTTTTTAGAATTTTAATTCTGAATGTTTTTAGAATTTAACTCTGAAATATTTTAGAATTCTAACTCTCAAATTTTTTAGGATTAACTCCAAAAAATTTTATATTTTAATTTTAAAACAAAACCATTTTGGAATTTTAATTTCAAAGTGTTTAGAATGTCAATTTCAAAGTTTAAAGACTTTTAATTCCAATTGTTGTCTGTGGAATATTAGATATTGTCTGAAGAATAAACAATAGTGTTCGGCGATAATAATAGTTTAATTTAAATTTATTTCAAGGCATCAATAAATGAAATGAAATGGGGTTTAATGTCCTACTGTTCTGCTCCGACTGGACTAATGAAGATGGACATATGCCATAGAGTGTGCTATGAGGGAAATTTTGCCGGGGCAGCGGTACAATGTCCTTTTCTTATTTCAAATTCCAACTGCCAAGGGTTCTTTTACGTGCACGCCAGTATGTACACAGGACCTCGGTTTTTTGTCCCATCCAAATGACTATACATTGTCCCTTGCCTCCTGCACCACTGGCGAGGGTGAACCACACCAGAAAATCCCTATAAACTTTCTCGACCAGCGCAGAGATCGAATACGGGACCTCATTGTTAGCGAGCTAATGTCCTACCCACCGAGCCGTCATGGCTCCCTCAAGGCATCAATAAACTATTGTTTTGTACATTACAATTACAAGGATTTGACTAAAAACAATTACAATAGGATTTGACTAAAAGCAATTACAACATGATGTTATCTGAAGTGTAAATTAGAAACTTTAATATCTTATATTATTTAGCCCGCATCAATGATTTGGAGGAAAAACTCAAAGTTTCTCAAGATGAATTGGAGAATCTGGAGCGTAACATGAACATAGAAATATCCGAGGTATGTCGCAAGAACAGAACAGAGATGGAACAGCATCTGGAAGAGCAACAGTCACGACTTGGTTCACTTCATAATGAAAATGTTGCGATGAAGTCTGAGGTAAAGTATT